TTTGCTTTAATCGTGTTAATGCTATCGGTAGCATCCTGGGTTTGAAAAGTGTTCGTTGCCGCGTATTGTTTCGGGGTGGCGTGCATTTTAAGAGGAAAGTTGCCAGTGGAAAGAGGAAAATTCGAAAATAATTTTACCTCAACTGAGGATAATTCAAGAACAATATTTTTGCAAATGGGTGGGTTAAGCGAAAAAAATGATGTCGTGTCAGAGGATTTTATGGATGGTCGGGTATGTACGACCTACCAGAAATTGATTTGTGGTGGTATGAACTGCAAACATTTCAATGTTTAACTGAAAAGAACCCTGGAAAATTATTGATGCCCGTGTCTCCCAGAGCCGGGGCTCATTTAAAGGTAATTAAATAGTACCGAGGGTGATGCGATCTATAAAGACCAGTGTCAAAATTTTACTCAAAACTTCAGTTTTGGTCGATGAATTTGTTTTGTTTGTTCGATGTGTTCCCCGTACTCCTGAACAACTAATCTCTGCCTACACTTCCAAGATTTCATCACTTTTTGCACATCCGCGATAGAAATCATGTTCCACTCCTGCTTCTGAATTTTCCAAACCCCGGCCAAAATGGTAGCGCCTCGCAAATGAAGCTTTTGTTTCAGGAGTCTAAATCTGTTAAAGTCCATGGAACTAACATCAGGGCTCTTCGCATGTATCTGGCTTTTAGGAATGAGCTTGATTGGTTTAACTTCCGCTGCGTACTGGGTCGTTTTCTGAGAGGTATCGGATGATGTGGCGTCATGTTGAATATGCACTTTTTCCGTCCCCCCAGAATTTCATTTTGGAACGTGAACCACCAAAATTGGTTTTAATACGTTCTTAGTATCACAGTCTGAATTAATTTTAACATTCTCGAGAACTTGGATAAGGGGGAGCACGCCACGCCCACACAATGCACAGACCACCACACATTTTTTACAAAGCCTTTCTCCGTTTTAATACACGAAGTCGGGGTCAAATTCTCCTGGGTTCTTGTAATAAATTTTCTGTTTCCCTTGCAATCCTGAATATAGAACATTGCCTCATTAAGTGTAACAACAAACTCGGACTTTCCACCTACCAGATGATTTCATACAGCTTTCAAAAGCAGGTCTTCCGGTTCTGGTTATGACACGGCTTAAGGACATGAACTCGGGCCTTTTTCTTAACAACCTTTCCCAATTGACCCTTTACTGCTATACTAACAGTTGACTGATTAAAGGGTAATTGTTTTGCAATGAACCTTTGAATTGGAGAATTCTTCTTGTTGGTGAGGGAATCGATCTTCTTCAAAACGGCGTTGGGGACCTTTTTCGGAGGTGAAACTTAATTAGCGATTGCTGACCAGCCAGTATTGCTTTTCTCCTAATTCCAACGGCATTTGGCACGTTAGACACTCCAGTCTACGAAACACTGAACCACGACGTGTTATACTTATCCGCTAATTTTTTATGCGACAAACCATCTTCGGAAAAGTGTTTTATGGGGTACTCAACTTTAGCAGCCAATTTGTTGGCCATTATGGTACCAATTTCTTTGAAGTATTTTTTTCTAGTGGGAAAACTAATAAGGTTTTCAACGAAAAAAATTGGTAAGGTAAATAAAGTCCCAATTACAATTAGGGCTAACTAGGGATACCTTTCCCATGATAGTTGAAATAAGAGTTCTAATTTAACTTTTCATATACACTACGATGAGTTTTGATGGCAAAGTGGAAAAAAATTTCTGCAAAACCAATTTGCGAATTTTTTATTAGCCTCGTAAGTTTGCACAACCGGGGGCGGAATAGCCGGAGTTGGGGAGTATGGAGGTGGGAGCGGCTCGCGCCCCCCCCCAACGATACACCCATCACTTGTGACGGAATTGTGATCTGCATGACCCAATGTTATTTATGCGTAACTTAAGTAATGTAAAATTGAATTAATTGAATGGGAGTTTAGACAATTAAAAAATTCAAATTCAACTGCGAATTAAATTATTCTAAAAGTGTTATTCCATGCCTGACTAATAAACAAAATTTGAGGCATTTAATTCATATGATGAAGGTATTGTAAGACTTGGGAAGAATCACGTTGCCCAGTTTGCGCACCAAACAATCAAATTCCTCTGGTTTTAAAGTAGTCTGTTCTATTTCCCTTTTGTTAAAAGTTTTGTGAAAATGTTCATTTAGCAATAATAATAAAAATTATCATTTTCAATATGGCTAAAATTGTTAAAGTGTGCGAATTAATACTAGAATTTGCAAAACTAAAGTACGACGCCGCTAGTGTATCTATAATTGACGGTAGATTAAAAGTTGAAGATTTAGCAAGTGAAGGACTGACTTTAATTGCAAATTTACTTAATTTTGAAGCCAGTACGTGTGAAACGCTAGTTGAATTGGAAATTGCCAGTCACGATGAAATTGATATGTAATTTGAACATGGAAGTGCTACTCAAAACGACATAAGTTCCGAGGAATCGTCGTCGCAGGAATGGCAGATTGAGAGTATCGAACACAATAATTATATTCTATCGAAATCGGAAAAGGATTATGAAAAAATGGATTGACGATTGTGTGGCTCCGTACGTTGATAACAATGAAACTGTGCTCATTTACGACTCCTGGGCTGGACAAGTTGACTAAATTACCTATGCGTCACTTCCGGAAGAAAGCACCAGATTCCAAATCCCTACCAAAACTACACCCTAATTCAGCCCCTGGATAAATATATTTTCAGACAATATAAGATATTTCGCCGCAGAATTTTTGAGAAAGTTGTCCTTGATTCAATAGACATAGATTTACATAAGAGGCAAAATGTTATTAAACTGCAATCCCTAATTTATAACCAGTTTCAATCTGTTGCTTTTGAACCCATGTGCAGATATTCCTGGTTTGCCTGCAATTATACGAGTGATCGAGCGGAATTTAAGAATGTGGCAGAAGTACTATTTTGTGTAACTATTGACGATTGCGAGAAGGAAATGTGCGATAAAGAGACTTTCATAAAATGTTCTCATTACTCAATAAATTTGTGCTTTCATCATTTTTTCATTGAAAACCACTTTCACTCGGACAATTGAATGGAATCAAAACAAACAAGTAATTTTCATATACGTAAGTACAATTTGTTGTTTAGTTTAATTCATGCATTTCAAGTTTTCGGGTGTTGACGGTATTGATGAGTGTGGGGAGGGGGCGCGAGCCGCTCCCACCTCCACACTCCCCAACTCCGGCTTTTCCGCTGCCGGTTGTGCAAACTTACGAGGCTATTAAAAAATTCGCAAATTGGTTTTGCAGAAATTTTTTTGCACTTTGCCATCAAAACTCATCATAGTGTACATGAAAAGTTAAATTAGAACTCTTATTTCAACTATCATGGGAAAGGTACCCCTAGTAAGTGACCAACTGGTCTTTATAGCTCGCATCACCCTGTAAAACGGGGCAATTTTCTGGGGTTATGGCTGTCCCAAATGTGAATAATTCAGTCGTTTCCGTGACTGACGGGGGAGATAAGGGTTTCAGAATGGTTAATAATTGTCTCTACGAGTGGTAGAAATGGGAGACAGTGTAGAGAAATAATAATATCAGAATAATTTAGATTTCCTTTGTTGGTCATTGTTGGGGAAAAAATTAAAAGTTTTAGACGTCGATTTATGTAACAATTGCATTTCCTAAATGAAAAAAAAAGAATAAATAAATAAAACAGAGTTTCTCAATTTTACCAACTTTTCCATCATGAACGAAAATTGTGTCTGAATTAGTTATGGAATTCCTTGCGGGTCCTTGTTTTACCCCGAGGAGTTTACGTAATGTGGTAATTATTTAGTGAATTGCAAGAAAGTATGTCACGGAACGAGTTAAATAGAATAGTTTTTTTACAGGCTGGATTTCGTATATGAATTTACCAGGGAATTGTGTATGATTATGTAGAATGGTTATTTATGGTAGATTTTTTTAAAATTAGACCCTTTTTAAATGTTTTTCTCATAATTCATTACACATTTTATTGGGAATGTGGTCGAATTTTTGAAATTCGGGAATTTTAAAATTTTCCCCGTCCTCTAAGGTTTTCAGAACCGTTTAAAAGTTTGAAATTTTTCAAAAAAAAGACCGAGCATTGGTAATTTGAATTTTCAATGCGTTCAATAGAAGGGTCTAATTTTAAAAAAGCTACCATAATTTGACGAGGCTTTAATATGTGAAATTTATGGGTTAACCTGGACATGGAATTGTTTTGAAAGGAATTCACTTATACATATTATCGTATATTTTTTGGCAAGGTTAGTGATTTTATGTGGCAATTAGTTGTCAATAATTTAAAGGTTTTCCTATGGATGTCTTGTTTATTTATTTTATCGAAAGGGCAAAGCTGTGGAGAGGAAAGGGTTAATTATTTTTCAAAGTGGATAAAATAAGTCAACCATGCTTATTTGTTTAACATATAATGATAAAGTGTATATTTAGGGTAAACGGCATTTTTGAGAGGTTAGTCCACCTAAGAAAAAGGAAATTATTGGTCAAGTATTGGTTTTCCCATTTGCTTACATATGTACATATGCCATGTGTCTAGGGAAACACTAAATTCTAAAACTAACGGCCGTATTCTGAATCACATTTTTGACCGTGAGTGGGAGTGGCCACTCACATTTCATATTCTGAATGAAAATTATCTCCACTCACGTGAGTCGAGATTTTGAAAAAAAATGAGTGGAACTTTCCTCCTAAAAGTGAGTGCCGATTTCGTGAGATTTCTGTTTCGTATTCTGAATACATATTTTTTTTCTCCACTCATGAAAAAATAGCGACTTTCACTCAATTTTCCTAGGTCACTCACCGAGGTACCTTTGCTACGTAAATTTTTAGTGTGACATCAGAAATTTTTATGTTTTCCAACATTTTGATCTCGTTAACTTGCAAATTAAATTATTTGTCAGAATCAGGTACGATATTACATATTGTTAACAATTTAAAGTTATACACATACCTACATATGTATATTTCATGGGATTGTTACAGCGCCATGTCTCTCTCTCGTTTGCAAGATTTTGAGGACCGACAGAATCGCATACAACGTTTTGCAATCCGAAGACTCCATGATTTGTCAAATCCTTTTGAGTCCTTCTCGGAACACCAATTTCAAGCACGATTCCGTCTCAGCAAACACGCAATTTTATTTGTAGCTGCGCTTATAGAACCCAAAGTGATCAGTCCCTTAAAGCGTGGTGCACAAATCCCCCCATTCATGCAACTGTTAGTTGCTCTCAGATTTTATGCAGCAGGAACAATTCAAATTCAACGAGTCTCCGAAGCTCTCGCAAGTTTGAAAACGCAATTTATACGATACCCCACCGAAATCGAAGCGATTGTAATTAGACAGCGTTTTTATGACTATGGGGGATTTCCTGGTGTGGTTGGTGCGATAGATTGTACGCATGTTCCAATTAAATCAATCGGTGGGCCGAATGCAGAACTATTTCGTAATCGAAAAGGAAATTTCTCAATAAATGTACAACTAATTTGCACCTCGGATCTGAAGATAACAAATGTTATCGCCCGGTGGTACGGCTCGTGTCACGACAATCGAATTTTTGATAATTCTACTATTTGTGGACAACTAGAAAGAGCAGAGGTACCCGGAATTTTACTTGGTGATTCTGGATATGGATGCACATCATTCCTGATGACCCCTTTCTCACATCCAACGACAGCTGCAGAAAAGCGGTATCAATCCGCACAAATCAAGACCAGAAACCCGATCGAGCGATGCAACGGGCTTTTGAAGCAACGTTTCAATTGTTTGAGATACATGCGTCTAAAATTGCGAACCACTCTGACCACCATTGTCGCTTGTTGCGTCCTTCACAACATTGCACTTCTGCATCCGGACGATTTACAATTTGAGGAAGATATGAATGAGCCTGATGAACCGAACGTGAATATCCAACCGTCTACGTCAGGGATAAATGCTCGAACCAGAATTGTTACGTCCCATTTCTCTTAATGATTACGCAATATAGTCCATGATATTACTGATGCTTATAAAAGTTTTTTCGAATTTATTTCCTAGTCCCCAAACAAATTGTAAACACATATTTTTTAAAGTTTTAAATATTAAAAATGAAATTTTAACAATTATATATCTGGCAACTCATCCTCAATTATTTCAACCTGCTGAACTATTTGAACATTTTCCCTATTAAAACAACTCATTCGTTTTTCATGGTACTCTTGGTCCATCGCAATACTTCTTTCCTCACGTGAAATCTGCAAATCCAATAGCTTCAGTTTCTTTTCATGCAATTGTTCTTCCATTTCAATAATCAACTGTTGACCAGCCAGAAGTCGTCGTTTGGGAATACGTGGTTCAACCACCTTCACAGATTTCGAACCGCCCATGCATATTTCCTCGGGACCTTCGTTATTAAAGATATTTTCATTAATTTGCCAAGAGTAAAATAAATATGAAAGTCTGCACATATATATCACTTACTCATCCGACCCTGTATGGTAGATAAGGGACCACTTCCAGACTTGCCGTTACTCGCAACGATCTTTCCGACACTGCTAACATGACACTCCAACTTCTTACTCGAATCTGTAGGGAAGTCAATTCGTATTAAATTAAATTAATGCTACATATTTTTTACTGTACCATTCACGACGGGTCGCTCAGCCTCTTCTTCTGACGTGGCGGCGTCATCATCGTACGGATTTGAAAGTGATGCAAGCTGTGCTGGAACAATTGACGCCACTTTAACTGAAATCGGCGAAACCTCACATCCCTTCGGTCCCCCATCTGTCTTACGTCGACTTTTTTTCACTTTTGAAACCTGAATAGAGCACAATAAATTAATATTTATGATCTTTAACGGTATAATAAATCCAGGACATCAGTAATTATAAAATAAAAAGGATTTTAATTATTTACCTGATTTTTGGCTCTAGTCTTCAAATTGTCCCACGACTTCTTCAGTTTTTCACCAGACCGTTTCATTACATTCAAATGGGAACAAAACTCCGTGGTTATCTTCTCCCATTCCGCGTCCTTCTGGGCCGTTCAAACTTTATTTGTTGATTTATTTTCAACAATAGATTTCACTTTGGGTCTGGAAAGTATTTCCGTCAGAATCTCCTTCTCGTTCGGTGTCAAGGAAGGGAGTTTGGTATTAGTGGCCTTTGGAGGATCTTCAACAAGCTCAGATGACGACATTTCTTTAAATTGTTGGCAATTAATTGAAATTATTTGTAAAACTTGGAAAATAGAAAGTCTGGCGAAGAAATATTTGACCCGCGGCTCCCTCAGCTGGCACTCACACTCACAAATTCTCGCCTCACACTCACAAATTCTCCACTCATGTGAGTGAAGATCAAATTTCATTCAGAATACCAAAGGAGTGGAGTGGAGAATTGGCACTCACACTCCCACTCAGCAAAGTGTGAGTGAGAGGGGCGATTTTTTAGTGATTCAGAATACGGCCGTAAGTGTCTGATCAAAATATGCTATAATTCCAAAAATAGTTATTTATATTCAAAGTTATCATATTTATTTACTATTAATGCACAGATATTTGAAAATACAAAATGTAATTAATAATAAAATTTGTTTTCAGCAATACCTGAGAAGTCTTATTAAATTTATTTATCTTTGTCTAGTGTGCATAAATAATCAGTACGTTACACATTTGATCCCGGAAATATATTACTTAAGTCATCGTCCAGGCGGAAACTCGACGATATATTCTGGTAGAAAGGAATGTATTCGAGGATTCACAAAAACGGTTGGATTATCCAAATTATCCACCATGGTGACGGGTCCACAAAGTGCGAAAGGAGGAAATTTTCCTCTCTCCCCGAGAATCTTACGACCGACCAGGACTCGGCATAAAAATACTCTTGACGACGTCAAGCTAATTATGTGAGTAGAGGTAACAGTTAATTATAGAAATTTTTGTATTGAGTAATATGTATGTACTTAACAAATAACTATGATTGAAATTGTTAATTACATAACGAACTGTATTTTTTTACATCGACAGTAATTACTGTACTTTCCCTAATCCTCATTTTTATATAATTTACGACTCCTGAAATAAATATGTACATGCCGAGATTATATGTAGTACTTACTTTGAATAACCGCGAGCAGTTGCGACCACATTTGTAAAGTACGTCCCTCTCCCATGCGTCGCACCGTTGGCGGAACCAGACAACGTTGGGTCAAAGTTGGTTTCACAGATGAGCTTAATGTTGACGTCTTTTGTCCCGTGGAAAAGCCATTTTTCCTCTAACGTGACCCCCTCCACACAACTAGCCTCCCATTCCATCCTCTCCTTAATTCTTAGATAGCTCTTGTACGAGGCGGGATTTTGGATCCGTCGTAAACTCATAATCTCCAAGGGGTAGACTTTTTTCTGGAGTTTGGATTAATTAAAAATTTGTATTTGTAATGAAATTATGTAAAAATTGTCATTCTTCTTGCCATGAATGGTAGTTTTGCGTACTCAAACAAATTATAAAATAATGAAAGTTACAAAAAATTAACATTTTTAAAGCTTAGCACTACTAGACTTTAAAAAAAGTTAATTTTTTGCCCGCTATGTTAACGAGTAAAATAAGATAAAGTTTTCACCTACCTCGACCATGTCAAATTCTTGGGTAAATTTGGGGACATTAAATGTCACAAAGATCCTGGATTTAGGCATGGCGTACCACGTAGAGGGATAAGAATTTTCGAGTTCGAGGAGTTGTCCCGATTTGAAAGCTTCCCTCCGGATACGGACCATCTTTGCGGGCATTTTTCTCGCATCAATGAATTCTCGGGTGTCTAAATTCACTGAAAATTTGTTGATACTGAAGTTTTTAGCGCCACTGATGAAGTACGATTCTAGCTCGCGGGCTGTAATTGGGAAGCGGAAATTGCCATCCGGGTCAAGGTCACCGAACGTGACCCAGTTAAATCTGAGGAGGAAAGTTGTGTTGGAGACATAATTTAGTAAAATATGTAAATTGTAAGAAGATACATAGTGGATAAATTATTTTGATTAAGTAGACAAAATATTCTTTAGTTAAATTTTTTGTAAGACAACAATTACATATTACCAAAGTAAAATTTAAAAAAAAAAACTTTGTGGCAAAGATTTATGCCTAGTTGAATTTGTTGGTCAATAAATTTAATAAATTTTGGCACGAATTTTATGTGAGCTATTTCTTTCTATTCTTACCCAGTTTTAGCACTCTGGTCAAAATAAGACTAGTCGACAAACCTATTAAAAGTGTCTGGTCTTCGTTTGACTTGGTATTTCTCCGGGTCGCCAGCCATGGACAGTTCCATCTTGTTAAAATCGAGAGAAACCCTGTACTCCTGCCTTTTGGCACCGAAAATGGTAAATTTCCTCTCAAAATCGTCATCTGGATTTCCATTCGATTTACAATTCTGGTAATTTTGTTCCAAATATTGGAATGGGCAGGTCCTAGAAGATTTTTTATATTTTATTGGTAAACTAATTGTACTCGTCAAAATCCCGATGGGGTCCCGTTGGGAAGAGGGTGAGGAAGAACCAATCTTAAGTTATGACCAATATTAGAAAAAAACTTACTCATTTCCACCTCCCTTGACTTCCATCTCACTCCAGTTGACCGCAATATCGTCCCTCTGCCAGTACCAAGTCCATCCGGAAGCGTTTACCTCGTCCGGACATATATTTCTGGTTGGGGTCGATTTCCTCATGATTTTTGTACCGAGCGGAAAACTGTCATCTTCTGAGGAAGTGATGGTCATTGTGGTAAAATCCAAACTAAATTTAGACAGAGACCCTACATTGAGGTCGGGATTGGAGTATTGTTTCTCCAGCAATTTCCCGTCATCCTGGCTCAGGGGGGTGGTTGTGTCAATGACTTCCCACTTATATGGAGTTACCTCGTGGAATTTGTAAGGACAGATGGATGACGTCGGACAGGATGGAAGGAGAGATGGGCAAATATCTGGGAAATGATGAACATTACATATTTTATTTTATTTCTTAATTAAACTTTATAAATGTGCCTAATCGTACACTTATAAATCTCAGTATCCTTAACAATGACGGACGTCGGGTCTGAAGATGCAGCCTTGTCGGACATCATGACTTGTCAATTCTTACTAAAATTGTACAGTTTAAATTATTTAGTTGTACTAAATGCAAAGTTTTAGTGTGAACTAGTTTACTTGTTGGACTTGAGAAAAAGAAACGGTTAAACGATGTAGTGGTAAAAGAGAGAGGCGACCCTGAAAAGGGTAAAGGGTCGGTCTGCATAAAACTGATGGTCTGTGAAATCCAATAATATTGTGAATATGTGTAAGGCACACTCATTAGCAGCGGAAGTTGAGGGACATATGTAGAACAAGTTGGATGGTATGTAGGATAAGCACTTACCAAGATCTTTATATGAAAGCCGTATGTATAAGAAATATTTATACAGAAATGAAATGATAATTAAAAAATAGTCACAAATTAATTTGAGCATATTACATAAAAAAACCGGTGAGATTATTGTCCGCAGGTTACACCGCGGCTATTGCCTCAAAGGAGGTTTGGGACGTCCGTCTATGGCTTTTTCCACAGAAGGGTTCTTATAAGACGTCAACTTATGGTACTAGTGAAAGGTTGGACTTTGTTATGAATGGCAGGGGTATGACAATGTCATTGTTCCTGCAACTATGTATTATATATAAGTCATGTATTATTAAGATATATAATAGATCTAGTATTATACACGGGTAAATCTCGAGATTTACCCGTGTATAATACGGGATCACCTCGAGTACAAATAAGAATGACTCGTTCGTCCTACATGGTAAGCGGTAAGCACTACATTATTGGCGGAAAGCGGTAGGAAGATGCACGGTAAGAGGTTGTTATGGATGCGTTCCGCCAGTCAGACAGACCGACGGAGAGACGGCTAGATAGACAGATAGAGAAAGGGTTATTCTTAAATGGTCGTTAGCAGGACAAAAATTTAGAAAGGTACAAAATGTTACAAAATTGGTACAAGTGGTAGGTAAAAATTTGCAAATGTGAAGAAAACTGAAAAAATAATACAAATTCTTACCTTTTCTTCCAACAGAAACTATTTGTAAACAGTATCGATAACGTTACTTTTTGAATATACGTATTTCAATGAAAACGTAAAAATTTCTAATGGTTTAACAAATGTCTAAAATTTTAATGTAATTGTAAATGTTTTCTGGTGTACAATAAAAATATAGTTTGTTGACCCTTACAATTGTTGAACTGTATTTAAACCATTCTTGCAAAAATAATTTGGAGAATTAACTATTTAATGATTTATCTACATATTGGCAAGTCGGTTTTGCAATATAGTATAATAAACTAAGAAGAAACAGTACATGCATGTTCTCGAAAGCTTGGAAAGAAAACAAAATTGAACGTATTAAAATCTGGAATTATTTGAGAAGCAAGCTTACATAAATTTATTGTGAGTATTTTCCATAAAATTAATCAATAACTTTTTCTTACCCTACTTTAATAAACGGTGTATACATACATAGTTTTTTTAGTATATGTTTATAACCATGCATTATTAAGTACGAATTTAGCGCAACTCCCTCTTTATCAGAAACCTTGACTCACGTATCTAATTTTACTAGTAACGCTGTAGGATACGTACATAAATAGTTTAACTACCTAACTTAACCCTTTCCTAGAATTCGGGTAAAAGCATAGTAAGGTTTCCCACATCTAAACTTAAGTATCTATATTATAAAAACCAAATGTCCGTTCGTCTGTTCGGCTGGGTTGCGATTGGTGGTGGTTGAACGTGGCTCTGCCCTCAACTTTCACTGTTGCCCGCTCCCTGGAAATTTTGGTATTTATTGCATCAGGCATTTGTCCTATTTACCTGGCATTTTAATTAATGCCCCCATAAGCCCAATGTTATAATAAATGCCTAGGGAATTTATGCCCACGGCAAATGTCCTAAATTCCGGGCATTTATTTTCATGTCCAGGGCAACCTCTAACCCCAGACATAATTATATCGGCCCAGTGCAATGACGTCGTGGTTGCACTGCCCATGATTACGCTTCTCCACGACCAACTGATTATGAGACTATAAACACCTCCATATGCCAAAGCAGCTACAAAAATTTAAGTCTGATCAGGACTTATGGAATGGTCGTTCCGGTCTCGCAAAAACCTTGGGGTATGCTTCTCACAATTCTTTTTACAACTTCCCCATTAACGACCGTTGCCTCGGTTATCATTCCCCCACACACATACAATTGGCAGTTGTTCTACATACAGCACCAATTTTGCTATGACTGGTTTGTCTGGACGAACGTGTTCTATGTATTAAGAGACTCTGGCTGTTTATAATATAGATAAATATACCACTTGACGGCAGGGTTCCCGAATACCTCGGGTGTTGGGAGCAAAAACCCCAATACCCATTCCCCAGAACCCCACTATCCCAATACCCGGGGTTAGGAACCCCGCTTGACGGTCGTCAGAAGGGCTTAATAGCTAGTATACAATAGATTCATGGGGTAGCGGCAAGCATAAAGCTTACGACTTTGAAAGTGTGGCTTGTTAAGTTAGCAACACAGTAGGAAGGATGGATTTAATAAAACTCATTACTGCTCTGTATGTATGCCTCTACCGGTCGGTGTGGCTCCCAGGGTGGTACATAAAAGGTCAACTTCATTAAGTTTTGGGAGCACTAGCCTTTTCCAAAGAATTCTTAAATCGGTATCCCTGACTGATCAAGACGCCTCTGTCAACCCTGATTACTGCATTAGTAAGGAAAAAAGTTTTCTCAAAGTCAGGCAGGAAACTTAATTGTGTGCACTCTCTACCCTTACGCATATTTTGTAAGTGTACTTTTTAATAACATTTTTTGCAATGAATACTTGTTTAAAAATTTTGTAGTCTGAACTGAAAAATTTAGGTTCTTAAAAACTTGAAACTTTTCTCAGACAATTGGAACGAATTAATTTCATGATACCACAATGGACGAGAGCTACTCCCCCATATTCGCATTGCTTCCAGAGGTTTCAATTACCTATTAAATTTAGCAAAGCTGAAGTATTTCGATTATCAAAAATGTATATTTTCAGACCGTCAAAAATATCAGTCTTTCTACCAAGGACCGACCTCATTGCGTGCACATCGGTCAATTCGACGTGGGAATGCCAAGCCCGGAGAGAGCTCCGAACCAGGACCATGGTTAAATTGAGTAGCGACAAATTTGAAGAATATATCACCCTATGTCAAGTCCGATCTAACTATTATGAAACTTTAAAAATATATCGGCCTAGGCACATGGACCTAGATGACTTCAATTCCCGCTTTAAAAAACTGGTTTCAAGTCACGTCGGTAAGGTGAGGGAGTTACAGGTCCCATTCCACTTGGGTAAGGGAATCGATGGATACCACTTAATCAAAGGGGTTCAAGATCTTGGGAAACAATTAACCTCTCTAAGACTCGAAATGTTTAAATTATATCGGTGTTCGGACAAGCACAATGGCGTCGGCAGCGTGGTCCAGTTTTTGGACGAATTCTCCTTACAAGGTTTAATACTTCCGTCTATAACTAAGCTAGAAATTGATGCCGAACTGATGCTTAGCTCGGACAAGATGTATTTCAGAAGGATCATGTCTAAGCTTGCTCCTCTATTTCCAAACGTATCTGCCCTAACGTTAAGTTGCCCGGGGCGTGAGGAGCTTACCAGTTTATGTATAATAGGGCCTCCGTTCCATCGGTTAAGATCGTTTTCTATCATCGGTGAGGATTCTTGTTATTTGGGAAACACCCCGTTAACCCTACACCCATGGTGGCAACTCATAGCTAAATTTGAATTTGACGCCAGATGGAGCCATAACGGCTATGGGGTACACATCTTGAAAACGCTGGCACCCACGCTGGTATATTTACACGTAGTAAAACCTAAGTCTCCTTTCATTCCAGTAATGGGGAGGTTAAGGATTATGAAAGTTACTTTACCCAGTTGGAAGATGTACGAGGGGAAGGGCCGCTTTTTATTTGAAACCGCAGATCGCGTCAAAGGTATCAAGATTGAGTACGAGAAGCAGTTTAGAATCTTGGAAAAGATAAGGGGTGGGGTTTTCGGAGGAGTTTAAGACAAAGGATGACGAGGAAAAGGGCTTCGAAGTTTCAGCGGACTTTTTGTATAAGAATTTTATACCGAGACGCACCGCCATCTGTGAGAGCGTGCGGGAATTAGATGTTCTTTTCCCAATAGGGGAAAAGTTTAGGGTGAAGGACGGGGTTGTGGATAATTTCGAGACGTTTTGCGAATGGGAGGAATTGACAAAATTTTTGGACCGGGTTGCTTCAACTTTTCCTAACGTGAGGTATCAGGTGGTAGAAGAGAGACGGGGTAAACTGAGACAAGCTGAGATAGCGGAGTGGAGAGAGACTGGGGTAAGGTTGGAGTTACTTAAGAAAGGCGATTATCCAGAAGGGGAGGAATACTTAAAGGAATACTTAGGAGAGATTAAAGATCTGTAAGTATGAGATTATGTAATAGAGTAGGCGGTAAATTTGGATTTTCGTAATTTGCGAGGTTGAAATAAAACATTTTGCCTAGTAATATTGTCAATAGTTGGTTTCAAGTGTGCAGTTAAGTTTAGTTAAGTTTGTACAAGTTATGTGATTAGTGCTAAGTATTATTATTTGTATTATGATTACTCTACAGTTCAACTTGTAATGTTCTGCTAACAAAAATTTAAATTTGAAAAGCCACTAGTTCTACATATCGTCGGCCTAATTTTAAAAAGAGCTATCTACATACGGGAGAGTGGAAATTTTTAACACGCACAAGATGCATCCTTCCCATGTTAAAAATTTCCACTCTCCCGTATGTAGATAGCTCTTTTTAAAATTAGGCCGACGATATGTGTGTATCACAGAAAAATGTTGTAGATAATCGTTTTACTCTTTAGCTGAAATTATTATTTTTTCCCTCACTATGATATTGTTTTAACAAAATTTCTGGGATTGCAAAATAAAGCAAGTATAAATTAAGACCTAGCCAAATTAAACTACAATAGAGTAATTTGCGAAGCAAAATTTAAACTGCAAATTAAATTTTATCTCGGACTGATATTGTGTAAATAACTAATTAATAAGCGAATAATAATTACATACATAGAGAAAAGTAATAATTATAGGAAACGAATTTATTTATAACTGGTACCCGTATCAATACTAGAAAGGTGGGGTAAAGATTGTGTTATAATTCTAGAATGACTGAAGTGAAACGATGAAGGAATGCAGGTTGGCCGTTTTTTAAATTAATAGGAGACTCTCCTTAACCTTTTTTTAAAATTAAGGGACGATATGTGCACTGCAAATAATCCGGTGTTAATATTCACATTGAGATTTACACCAAGGCGTTGGTGAGGCTTGTTGACCCTGCTCTGGTGTCAGATCGCCCCTACCCTCGACACCGCGGAATGTTGAATTCACACCAAGCATGTGTTTACATTATTTATTTTTAGCCGTGTAAAAATTTACACTGATAGTGTAAATTTACACCTTGTTGGAAGAGTTTTTTTGGAACGTTTTTATTTTTGCGCATGCTTCTCAGTCCATCCCCGGCAGCCATTTCTCCAAGTTCAAGAAACAGCATGGCCAAGTTAGTAAGAGTTTCGAATCCTATGAGAGGAAAAAAGTTGATTGTTTGTGAAACACGAGGTTATGAAGATTTTATAAATTTAGGTAAGTTTTCATCAAATCATTAAATAATTAGTTTCGTGTTTTAATTTAATAGAGCCAATATTTTTATTATTTTCTGCAGTTAAGACAAAGTTTCTGTTGACAGAGGAGGTGGAACTATCCCTGCAGGACGAAGAAGGCGCAGAGATCGACGAGCAAGTTCTTCCCATTCTACTCGACCAAGCGACCACCCCTAATCTTATCTTTTTGCTGAATGGCGAGGAATTGGTCTCGACAACTTCGCAGGTCGTGACGATTCCATCTACATTTGCAGGTAATTTAATAGTTGTAAAATATAGCCCATTAATTCATACTTATTTAAGTAATAATATTTACATAAACTATCAGGTGTCAGTCTAACTCCAGGCTCATTTTCGGTTGAAGGGCAAAACGAAGATTTGTTTCAACAGGTGAGCGAGGAAATATATTCAAATGACTGAAAGTAATTAAAATAATTTCTTAACCAGGTACTGGAACATTTATTGGAAGATAGACAGGATCTGTCTCAAGTCGTCAGCGAGTGCAACAAAAATGGTTTTGTTGACTTTACTTCCTCGTCAACTTTGATCAAGGAATTTGTTGCCAAGTTGGTGCAACTCAAAGGGTGAGTTAATTTTGAAAGTAAGTGTATTATTTGACTATTTAGGATAATCACATCTGTGACTTTTCTAGTGAGTCACCATCCCCCAAGGATCAAAAATTACTGGCGTTGGCAATTATTAAAATTTTGCCCTGTTGGAGATTTCCATCAAGTGTTGAGGGAATTGTAAGAATTTTCTTTAGGTTTAAATATATTAAAATTAATCGTCTATAGTTAGTCAATATAGTTAATAGAATATATTTTACGATTTGCAGGATTTGTTATTTGACGACGTAAATCGCACCGGGCTTATTCAGTCAAGACTTCGCTGGCTTCATCGGAACTTGAAAGTAGACAATAAGGACGTCAAAGTGAAGGGTAAACGGGCAGCGCCGGCTATGACAGGTGGTCCGACAGGTGGTCCGACATCAAAACAAATCTCTCCCGATTAAGACTGTCAGCCGGCATTGGAAGAAACAATAAATAAATTGAACGGTTTATCGTCCAAATCAGAAAATCACGAGATAAAGGCGCTGGTGGAGGCTACTCTCCCTCACAGAAATCAGCTTCGCTCGACAAACGCGCAGTCCATTCTCAAAATCTATAATAAGTTTACTGAGTGCGATTTTCTGGTAAGTTTTTTTTGAAAATATTAACTTATATGTCACTGGTTTAAGTTGTTTTTTAAACTAGGTGAACTACGAATTTTCTCTCATCCATCAAGCTGAAGAATCAAACTTTTTGACCATCTGGCCGGCCCTATCTGCACATATTATTGATAAGGCGAGAAGTTTGAGCAAGTCTCCGTCCCTTCATAAATTTATTAACGAAGAGTCGGGTAAAAATATGTAAAAAAATTAGCAATTAAGCTTACATTGAAATATTTATATAAGTGCATATTTTAATTTATTATATTTATACAGGAAATTGGGATCCAAGTTTAAGTGCACTCTTCTTCCTCCTGCACCTCATTCCACCTGCTGCTCAGGGCAGAGGGAAAGGAATTAGATGCAACATTCTGCAGGCCAGAGAACGACTTGTTACTTTCCATAAAGTGAAATATGCCAAATTTATAGATTAGAAGATTACATACTAAATATGATAAAATTAATCTAATTGGAACTTATTTTCGTAGACTGGAACGCCGCTTCAATCTATTTTGGATACGTGGAGCCCGGAGAAAACACAGCCCAACTTAATCTGCATCGGGGACAACAGTGCCACGATTTCCTCCTTCTATTTGACCCTTGACAGGAGTTTACTTCCCCTCAGTGCGACAGAATCCTTGGCAGCTATCGACTCACTCTTCAAGGCTCACTTTGTCTTCGCCACTGAATACGACAAGAGTTTGATAGGTCTCTGGAAGTTTTTACAAGTTTATGTCTACAAATTGGATGTCAACACAACGACAATTCCACCGAAGGCCAAAGAGGTGTACGTCCAACTGTGCAGTTCCTTCGAGTTTTAGTTGCTATTTTGTTTGATAATATTTAGGATAAAATTAATTAGAATTTCAAAAATGTTCAGCTGCCCAGACTGTGCGAAATGGTGCTTAACGGGGCATGATATTTTTTTGCACTTTAAATATGTACATAGTTATTCTCAGTCCAATTTTCAAGAAATAGTTTGCCCACATATTAATTGTTTAGTTTCGTTAAGTAGTTGGAGTGGTCTATTAAGACATATAAAGTCCCACGAAAATGTGGAACGAGTTCAGGTCGAGCCTTCTGAGGAAGGTTTACAAAATAATATTAGTTTTGATATTCCGGACGAGGAAGAGATTAGCGATATTAGTGAAGATTTTATGTCTCGTGATAGGGCTGTAAAACTATTTCAAGATTTGTTAATCAATTTCTGTTCTTCTTTGATGTCGCGTGGAGTGAGTAACTCTATCGTTGATTATGTAGTCAAAGATTTAGATTATACATTTTCCCAAGTTTTTAAGATAATTATTAGGTTGGCAAATTTTAGTGAAGACTTTGCTAACTTCCCGGTGCAAGTGGAGTCGTTAATGTCGGCTTTTAAAAAGTTAAGAACTAGTTATAGCAGGCAGAATCTTTACGAAAAAAATAACAAAATCGTAAAACCTGTAGAGATTACTTTAGGGACAAGGATAGATTTAAAACTAAAAGACAACAAAAGGAAGCAAGTTTTAGTGCCCGAAACGTTTATGTATGTTCCAATTCTCAAGACGTTAGAAAAAATATTTTCTCTAAATATATATTCCAAGTATTTAAATTGTTCTGAGCAAAGTTCATCTTGCTATGAAAGATTTTGTGACACGCAGAGTTTCAAGAATAATGCATTGTTTAAAAATTTCCCACGCTCAATTCAAATTCAACTTTTTTATGATGATTTTGAAACTGTAAATCCGTTAGGGTCTAAACGAGGAATACATAAAATTGGGGCTTTTTATTTTATTTTAAGAAATTTTCCAGACTATGTGAATTCCGAGCTCAATAACATTCACCTCTTGGCTCTTTTCCATACGGAAGATGCTAAGAAATATGGTTTAAACTCAATTTTGAAACATATTATTCCCGATATAAAGATTTTAGAAACTCTTGGAATATTAGTAGGAAATGTACGGGTTTTAGGAACAATTTGCTGTCTTATTCATGACAATTTAGGTGTCAATACTTTACTAGGTTTTATGGAATCGTTTAGTGCGAATTATTACTGTCGCATTTGTTGCACATCCAGAATGAGATGGGAGCGATTTTTCCCAAATTTGGCTTAATTTCAGAATTCATTATTCTAAATGACAATCGTTGTTTCTTGCTTCTTAAAGAGCTCAAAGTTGATTATTTTTGTCGAAAACTGTTTGCTTATAAGATTTCTCCGGTGGAAGAAAGTTTTAAGTTAATTAATATTAGCAATCTACTAATTCATGATGGCATGGAAATTCAGAAAAATTGTAATCTAGATGGTATGTATGTAGTTTTACGACACCATGTGTAATTAGTTTTCGAAACTGTATGTCATTTATAACTAATTTGTATTATTAATGTTTAATTCACTTGTTATAAGGTTAATAAACAAATATACTTAAATAAATTTTATGCGATTTAAATTCATTAACACCAAATTTGCATCATAATACTTACCACACAGTGTAAAAATTACACCACGCTATGTTAAGTATTAACACCGAGACCGTGTTAACATTGTCCCTAGACAGTGATGATTTGACCCCACGTTGGTGTAACTAATGATTTGCACCATCCCGTGTGGATTTCACACCAAGACGGGGGAGTCATATATACACATCTCTTGGTGTAAATCTGGTGACGATATTTTTTGCAGTGTGGAGGGTTCATCATATTTATGCCCTGGCTGGTCAAACTCTTCCCCAAATTGGTTGGGTATGAGTTATATGCGAAAACCAGTTACCGACCATAAAAAGACGAGACAGGATGGTTTCGACAGGTGAGAAATATCTATATTTTGCACCTTCACATAAAATTATAAATTGAAAAATGCTGATTTAAAAAAAATAATTGATCAGAGATTTTACTGACGTGTTTCTAAAAGAAATCGCCAAAACTACGGACCCGAAGTCGGCATTTATGGGAAAATTGGGAGGTATTCACTTAAATATGTAATGAGCGTACTCTCGGCAGCGTTTTATTTCTCAGCCAAACTCATTTAGCAAACTTGCCAAGCTCTAAATATTTTGCAAAATATATAAGTTCGCAAATCTATTTCTAAAACTCATAATTTAATCTTGTTTCCACCAATTTCTGCAATTTGGCTGGTGATGAGTTGTTTGGTGAATTTTATTAGGTACAAAAACATACACCTCTTACCCCGTAAAATAGGTGTGGCAGTCGCAAAAATGGTAACAGCGCTTAGCCGCCGCTTGGAGCATTTGCTATATGCGGGTTGGTACAATATATATGCGGACTCTTCGGAAGAGTCTCTTCCTCCCCCATCTTATTACACATATTTTTTCTCATTTTTTACATATTTTGCTAGTGCACTTAGCTCATTTTAAAATTAAGAAGTGACTTCACTTACCTCTTTTTAGAATTTGTGCGACAATATGTACAAGTGGATGGGACTCATTTTAATTCATTTTGGAACAAAAATAAGCCGACCCGTGATTCTGAATTTTTCTGAATGAGCGATGAATATCTTCGTGATCCCCGTCCAAAATAAAGTCTAAATCCATCACAACTAAATTTCGAATTTAGCGACATGCCCACGGAGTCGTCACGTTTCGTGACCCTGCACGGCGCTACAAAGATTTTCAAAAGCAGAACACATTTCACATCGCACTGGGGTTCCCATTTAGAAATGTCATGACATTAACCTGGCGCGGCCAATAACACCTGGAGTGGTTTGCAAATTTGACAAATTCCATTGCAATCTCCTCTTATTGCTGAGAAAATTGATATGTCGCATGCCATATCGCATAGAATACGATTTATGCAAAGTGAACCACACCCCCAGGGGGAGTGGTTTTCAAATTCTAGTACTTTCGTTGAACTCGCCTACTCTGACTGAGAAAAATAATATGTCGCATGCCATGTTACACATAACCTGACCTGGGCGCTGAGAAACCACACCCCCTGGCGTGGGGCAGATGTCCAATTTATATTTCTGAACATTACCCTGGCCCTGGGGTATATTTTTGAGCTGAGGCCATAGTTTGTAGTCTTGAAACGTGGTTATAGGATTTGATTACGCTTAACACATTTTTATATTTAATGACCTGAATTTCCAGTGGGTGTGGCATAATTAGAAAAAAATTGGAGGCATACATTTTGCAGAAATGTCAAGTGTTTTGAAAATATGCGGAATTTTCAAAATCGATGAACAATTGAACGAATATTGTAAGTTTCCGCTTTCAAGAAAATTAGTTACGATTATACGCGCCCACTATACCACCCTCCACTCGGGGGTGTAACCTACCAAGCTGATTATCCGGTTATAGGATGCTAGGAACATAGTTTGTCAAATGGGGTATTAGGAATTACTAGAACTTGAAAATTTATTGAGTTATAGGTTTTGGCCAAGGAATTGTGCATTCCGGACCACCGTGCAATTGATACATTCTTGCTCTTTAAAAATTGAAGGTAACAACAGCAGTGTGACCAACAATCAAACGGATCTGACTTTAATTTTTACTAATTATACCTTACAATAAAGTGTATTATTTATCTATGTTCAAATAAAAATGATGCACATACAAGGTACATCTAAAACAATGTGATTAAAATTTAGTCAATATTGACTGAAATTGCCAGCAGGACAACTATTGAGTAAAAGTTACCCAATAAAAGTTCAAATTTATCCCAATTTGCCAGGTTTTTGCTCAACCTGGAGTAAAGTTTGCCTTCGTGGGAGTAAATGTGACTCAATTCGTTGTCTTGGTGGCAAATTTACTCAACTTTATTTACAGTGTACTAAATATATGAAAAATTAAGTTTTCGCCCATCTACCGGTATGATTTATATGTATGTCTATGCCTGTAGATATGAATTGATGGAACTGGTGACCAAACCGGAGCAAAATTTGCCAATTCATGATTGATAAATAATTATGTAAATACGTTAAAAATTCAGCAGTACTCCTGTTTATTCTCTTGTATCGTGAGGATGCATAATTTATTACACAATATTTATAACATGCTCTATCTCCTCGTCTCCCATGACTGATGGGACTCGTGGCACTATAACTCTTAACGTGGGGCTGTCCTTGCCAATATTTTGACTAAATTCGCAGTAAATCGCGTCTTTCTTGGAATTCAGTGGGAGTGGATATTTCCTCGTGAAGTTGGCCTTAACCCCAATCTTGCCACAGCTCCCGGTTCCTCCGAGACCTTGGACGACATCCTCGCCATCATCGTGCCGACTTCCCAAGATGATCAACTCGTCACCCACGGTCTTTACTTGTACCTCGTCCGGCAGGAAGTTAGGGATTTCGAGGGATATCTTAAGAGGACATGATATTTCATGCTAAATGAATCCCGTATACAGCTCGTAGTGTGAAACTGGTGAAGTTTTTGGGGCAAAAAGTTCACTCGTTGTCAGCGGGAATTTGAAAATTAAATATGCAAAAAATATCAATGCAAAACTAACAAATACAAAAAACAAATGAAAATAACTCCTAGTTCACACCCGCTCACTTTAACACTTTCCTCTTCCATCACCGACTATTAGAAACCACACCCCCTTGTTTTAAAAAAAGATGAAAGCTGAACGAAGTTTGAAAACATTTTATAAGTCACTTTCATCTCATCAGGAATTGTTTACATTTTTAAAACTCCCCACGGCACACTCTATGACGAACTCGACGAAGTGAGACAAATCTCAAAAAGTAACAAGAATTTTGACCTTATCACTGTTGTTTCTCCTTGGAATTTGCACTCAGAAATATGAAATTTGCTGCATTACGACTAGTGATAGTGGTGCAACAACGAAATAATGCCCTTGAATGAATTCATATCCTACTTTTATTTATATTAATCATGGAATCTCGTGACGACACGGAAGTTACATGGAAATTGATTAATATACATAAAAGTAGGATACGAACTCCTTCAAGGGCCTTATTTCGTTGTTGCAACACTATCACTAGTCGTAATGCAACAAATTTTACATTTCTGAGTGCAAATTCCAAGGAGAAACAACAATGATAAGGTCAAAATTCTAGACTCAGGTTGTAACATACAAGAGAAATGCAGAGCGAGAGCCTGGATTTGCTCATAGAGAAAGGCAGCGCTGCTATCACCTGTCTTTAAATTATATAAATACATATTTACGCCCCACCTAAAGCCAAGTACAGAGGACGTATGTTTCACGAGCCGTGAAAAAATAAGCATTTTTAACGATACTTGCACCTCGTGAAAAAAAACTGAGAAATGTTCCTTGAAATTTCACGACATAGTTTCACAATGCCAGGACATCATCATTAATGATCATATCACTTTGCCCCCCCCCCAAAAAGAAATTGATTTTTAAAAAATTTTAAAAATTAAAATAATTGACCTGAATGAGCCGCGTTTACAAAAATTGAAGGTATCGTACAAGTATTTCTCCTGGTTTCCCAAATCGAGGGTGCTGGTGAAAATAGGGGGTCGATTTCACGATACAAGCCTTGTAAAAAAACCAATTTTTTGAGGATCCTGAAATTTTGTCAAAATTGCACGCAGTTCACTGTCTTCGATTTCACTCGTGAAATGACGTCCTCCGTACTCGGCTTAAGAAAATGTAAAAGATATTTTCACCATGAAATATTTATCCTTACCGCGACCTGCTCCTTGCTAATTTTCACTCCAGGACATTCCATCTTCAGCTGGAAGGTTTCATGCCAACTTGGCAAGTGTGGGGTCACATCGACGAACGGATGCGTCACTTTGTGCAACGTCCCCTTCAATTCACCCTCATCTCCTGGGATAAGTGGTACGACCACGGTGAGCCGGTAGAATCACACACTCTTAGAAACTGGGTATCAAAAAAATGTGCCCCACTTTACCGCTTTGGTATTAAACGGTTGTACTGCCCTGGTATAGATTCTGTAATGAAATAATATTACATATGTGGTAATCATTTTACTACTAGATAGTATTAAATTTTGTGCCATGTGGTATTATTTTTTGAATTTATTACCAAATCATCCCCACGGCTGTATTAAAGTCACATATCAATGCCGCGATTTACTGATTTTCTTAAGAGTGCATATACACGCCGGGCAGTAATGAATACATAAATACCAGTTTTCTAAGAGTGCAGCCCTCTTTAATGTACACATATTTATGCATAATACATTCATACAAATACTGAAACTTGCGAAAAGGACACGAAATTACTCATAATATTGTGATTCAGGATTTGTGAACAACAAAATTATTTTTCGTGAGGATAATAAAATAAAAAATAAATGATTAATGTACTCAATGTATTAAACCCAGTGAATTATATGGGTATCTAGTTAGAGATTTTATTCTAAATAAGCAGACACGAACATACATATTAATGCCCAGTAGACAATGGATGTAGGAAAATATCATCGTTGTTGAGCAGCACTAAAACACAATAAGACAGCTCAAGATCCTGCATGCATAAGTAAGGAACTAAGTAATTGTAAATTTACCATGTCGTACTCCTACATAATCCATAATTGTGAAGCAGTGACTAATATAGAGATAACTTAACTCCAGTCACGTTCACATTCTCTCTCAAGGAACAAGTCGCATACTAAATTCTTCTAAAGTCTTTAAAGATCTCATTCTTTGAGTAAATCTGGAACATATCAGTATCATCCATCAATAAGTCTCCCGAAGTCTAAATTTATCCAGAATTGTATATTGTAAATGAATCCAATCGGAATATTTTACCCGAAACGACACCCCAACAACACAAATTTTTACCACACGGAAGAAATTGGGGTCCACAAAGTGTGCAAACTTGGAGATCAAATCGTTATTAAAATGGTCGTCGAATTATTCCAGTAAGAAAAAATTAGTTACTAGAGAGGTTGAGCAAGAGTACATGATTGTACTTAGCGCTTGTAAGACAGCGGGAAATTAAATATTAGTCAGAATTTTAGTAAAACACAGAAATACAAATCTCTGACTCCAATCAGCATTGTACGGTATGAATCTACCCAAGTTACGGCAATTTTAAATCCGCCGCCAGAAATTAATCAGAATTACAATCCTACAATACAATATTCTTGCTCAACCTCCAGAATTACAATCATAGATTGTGAATGTGATTCTAGGCTAGAGTGATTTTTTTACAATCTTGTACTCTCGCTCAACCTCTCTATTAAGTGGTCTGAGCTACTTATTGTGATCACTTTGTCCGTCCGTACGTAAGCAGGATATCTTTTCAACATACTCAAAAACGGTTTTCGTCATTGTACTTCTAATTTTTACTTCCGCGTTGAGATCTATAATGATGTCAATCGGACAACCCCCCCACAGCACCAGGGATGTGGTCGAAAATTAAATTTACGAAAATTTTCATATGGGGAGTCATTTTAAAGCAAATTTAGTCACGAAATCAACGACGGTAATATCTTTTATTTTTGACCTCGTTGTCGCGGTCACGTGGTCAAGAGACACATGGATAATATTTTTGATCGTAGGTCAAAGATCAAACATACATAATTTCATATGCTGAGTCATATTAAAGGAAACTCTGACACTACTTTTTTTATCTTCGTTTCGACGGTTTGTTTTTATTTCAAAAACACTAATTCTTCCTAAACATTCTTTCCACCAGTCCGGACGAAATAAATGTGCGAACTTTAAACAACTCCGTCATAATTGAAGGCAATCACGGAATCGGGGAACACGACCATTTATTCCACCAAGTTACCCGCTCCTTCCAAAGGACGTTTCCACTCCCTCCGAACGCAGTTTTGGACCGCTTAACGTGCAACGTCGGACCGGACGGCTGACTCACCGTGGTCGTACCACTTATCCCAGGAGATGAGGGTGAATTGAAGGGAACGTTGCACAAAGTGACGCATCCGTTCGTCGATGTGACCCCACACTTGCCAAGTTGGCATGAAACCTTCCAGCTGAAGATGGAATGTCCTGGAGTGAAAATTAGCAAGGAGCAGGTCGCGGTAAGGATAAATATTTCATGGTGAAAATATCTTTTACATTTTCTTAAGCCGAGTACGGAGGACGTCATTTCACGAGTGAAATCGAAGACAGTGAACTGCGTGCAATTTTGACAAAATTTCAGGATCCTCAAAAAATTGGTTTTTTTACAAGGCTTGTATCGTGAAATCGACCCCCTATTTTCACCAGCACCCTCGATTTGGGAAACCAGGAGAAATACTTGTACGATACCTTCAATTTTTGTAAACGCGGCTCATTCAGGTCAATTATTTTAATTTTTAAAATTTTTTAAAAATCAATTTCTTTTTGGGGGGGGGGGCAAAGTGATATGATCATTAATGATGATGTCCTGGCATTGTGAAACTATGTCGTGAAATTTCAAGGAACATTTCTCAGTTTTTTTTCACGAGGTGCAAGTATCGTTAAAAATGCTTATTTTTTCACGGCTCGTGAAACATACGTCCTCTGTACTTGGCTTTAGGTGGGGCGTAAATATGTATTTATATAATTTAAGATATCCCTCGAAATCCCTAACTTCCTGCCGGACGAGGTACAAGTAAAGACCGTGGGTGACGAGTTGATCATCTTGGGAAGTCGGCACGATGATGGCGAGGATGTCGTCCAAGGTCTCGGAGGAACCGGGAGCTGTGGCAAGATTGGGGTTAAGGCCAACTTCACGAGGAAATATCCACTCCCACTGAATTCCAAGAAAGACGCGATTTACTGCGAATTTAGTCAAAATATTGGCAAGGACAGCCCCACGTTAAGAGTTATAGTGCCACGAGTCCCATCAGTCGTGGGAGACGAGGAGATAGAGCATGTTATAAATATTGTGTAATAAATTATGCATCCTCACGATACAAGAGAATAAACAGGAGTACTGCTGAATTTTTAACGTATTTACATAATTATTTATCAATCATGAATTGGCAAATTTTGCTCCGGTTTGGTCACCAGTTCCATCAATTCATATCTACAGGCATAGACATACATATAAATCATACCGGTAGATGGGCGAAAACTTAATTTTTCATATATTTAGTACACTGTAAATAAAGTTGAGTAAATTTGCCACCAAGACAACGAATTGAGTCACATTTACTCCCACGAAGGCAAACTTTACTCCAGGTTGAGCAAAAACCTGGCAAATTGGGATAAATTTGAACTTTTATTGGGTAACTTTTACTTTTATTGGGTATTTTTTTAAAGTTATTCTTTTGGTAAAATGAGGTCAAATGTCAATCCTTCTCGTGAAGAAAAAATAATTCAAATAGAAGAGTTATCCAGTGAAACATTTTAAAGTTGTGAAAAAATAAAAGCCTCCCCACCGGACGGTAAGACTATGGAAAAAGGGGTTACTCCACGAGTTATGGTAATGGACCTGATGTCGAAAATCGATTTTCTTGAAATCCTTCAAGTACATATGTGTCAGGAGACTAGAATATGGAGAAAAATCAGTATCCCCGAATTTTTAAAATTTCGGGCGGCGTGGTAGGAGGGGGAGTGGCTTTTATTGCGATCCCACTTTTGCGCAGGCGCTATTGCACCTACAGACTTCAAATTTCACTTGAAGATACCCTGGGCGAATACAAAAGCGGGACTTTTTCTCTTTTTTCGAAATTAGGTCATGTGACCTAATTTCAAGTCAAAATACGCAGTGTGCTAGATTTTTCTGAAAAATTAAAGTCTCACATAACCCAATAAATGGGGGTATCGTTGGAAAGGTCTTGATGAGTGGATTCATAGCATATATACTTTGTGGGGTCTCGAACCACCTTGATGTTCCAGAGGCAGAAAAATATTTTTGAGTTTGTGCCCATCTACTGCCATATGCGATCCCAATCTACTGCTGTTAAATTCTGGGAAACTGCAGATTCTCATTCTTCTGCCTCTGACTAGTCAGGAGGTGGTCCCAGACCCGACAAACTATATATATACTGAATCCTCTGATGAAGACCTTTCCAATGATACCCCATTTATCGGGCTAGGTGAGACTATTTTCAAAAAATTGACACGTTGCTTATTTTGACCTAAAAATGGTCACCATGACCTAATTTCAAAAACGAGAAAAAGCCCCGCTTTTGTATTCGCCCAAGGTATGTTTCATGTGAAATTTGGAGCCTGTAGATGCAACAGCGGCTGCGCAAAAATGGGATCTCAATAAAAGCCACTCCCCCTCCTACCACGCCTCCCGAAAATTTAAAAATTCGGGGATACTGATTTTTCTCCATATTCTAAGTCCCCCTGACACATATGTATGTACTTGAAGGATTTCAAGAAAAGCGATTTTCGACATCAGGTCCATTACCATGACTCGTGCAGTAACCCAGGGAAAGTATTTTGGTTGCAAAAAAAGGTCAGGAGGATTGATCTCCCTTACAACATAACATGAAACAAAGTCAAAATTGTTTCGGAAAATTGGTAGTTCCGCCAGAAAAACCGCAGGAGTCTTAAATTTCAAAAAACGGTACCAAAGGAAGAAGAAGCGCATTTCCACGACAACTGGTCACAAGTATCTCAAAACAAAAAGTCTAGGTCAGAAGGCATATCGGAGTAAGAGAAAACTCGTTTTAAGCAAATAGAATATTGCGGAATGGTTAAAATTAGGAGAAATTGTCGAAAAAGTGGGTTTTTAACCTGCGGGAAGAGGGTAAAAAACTGGTATCAAACATCCTTTTCACTGATGAGAGTTGGCTCAAATTATATCTACAATGCAGTCCACTAAATTTGAGATATAGGACAAAAAATAGGATGCCCCACCCAAAACACAACCTCAGAATCCTGCTAGCTAATGGATATTGTGCTGGTGGGATCTCAAAGTTTCATTTTGTGACGAAGGACGAAAAAGTGAGTGAAGAAAACCTAGGTTATCCCATCCCACCCTAAACCTATCCCAGCATATTTGACATACGGACAGCCGTATGTCTTCAAGAAAAAAGAATATTATTTTTCAACAAGATGGAGCCCCAGCATACGCGACAAAATCAATAATGAAGTTGCTGGAAGAGCAAGTTGGAACAGTGTGGCAAAAGGGGGTGTGGTTCGGAAATTCATCGGGCTTGAACTAAATCGATGACCTATAGGAATCAGCATACAATGGGGTTTTTCTAAAAACACCAATGGAATTGCCACCCGGTTTCGAAGAAAAGTGAAATTCACTTTTGGCTGAGCTTCCACAAAACCTGGCACGAAGCTTTAACACAATGATGGAAGAAATTATTAGTAATGCGGCATTACTAATGTAGACGGTGTACATTAAGGGATATGGAATTTTAATATGGTAAAGATAGGAAGGATGACGTAACATATGGACGTTCCCCAAGGTTTCGGGTGACATTGATAAGTGACATTAAGTGACAATAACCGGTTGTTGTCACTTGACGTTTAGTGACATTAAGTGACACGTGACATCAAGTCATAAATTGGGGAAAATGAGATAGACATAAACGATAGAAGATAGAAGAACTTAAATAGATAGAGGTAACTTAAACTTCGTGGATTGATGCAACAGCTTCTTATTGTAATCCATTAGTGCCTTTAAATAAAAATAAACCGTGAATGTACATAAGTTCGTGTATATAATTGGCACAGGTACAAATTGACACAGGCGCAACGCAATATCAACAGTATTCCATATCCAATAGTTAATTCCATTTTTACAAGATAAGTTTTACCTATCTGCTCTACGTCCCCACAATATAACTTCAAATATAAAATATACAATTATTTAACTTATTATGAGAAACGATGAATTTTTAACAAATTTTGCCTTGAGCAAAACCGACTGTGATGAAAAATCTCATGATCCGCGTTGATTTCCCTCTCATTTTCCCCAATATTTGGCTTAATATCACTTGTCACTTAATGTCACTTAATGTCCATGTCATGACATTAGGCCTCCAAAAGTGGCATTAACGAAACCCTGACGTTCCCCAATGCCTGAAAATACTTCGGGCCGTACTCACGCCAGGAATATTTTTCGCAAATTGAGCATAACTGGAGAAGTTTTTGCACAACTGTTGCTGGAAAACCGTAGGATTCTTTTGCAAATTTACCCACTACGTTGTTATTTCGCAAACTCATCCTCGCAAACGCCAGCGAGAGAAATTCCTAAAACCCATGGAAATGGCATCAAAATAGGCGTTTTTATAAAGATTTGTATAGCCACATTTTGTGAATCTTCTCACGACACGGCTTTCTTGTGCTTCGCAAGTTTGCTAAATCAGTTGCGATGCGAAATGAGACGTTGTCATGAGTACGGTCCTTCTAAAATATTACGAAAAGTGATGCCGGAAATATTCACTCGCTACAGAAATGTGAATGGGGTTCGCTTTTGGATGATACGGTCGCGGAGTCGCAATTTCGTCCGCGGCCAAGGACCGTCTTGCACAAAGAAAGGCTAGAGCGAGTTACTACGAGAAAACATGGCCAGATTTGAACAAATAAATATGGATAATATGGATAAAGGTATTAAAATAAGGGCGTTAAATGTCTGAACAGATAAATAAATTTATTTAGAATAAAAATAAGTTTTTTTGTGCACATATCGTCATATTAATTCAAAAATGAGCTAAATTTAATCACTTCTTAATTCTGAAAAGAGCCAAGTGCAGTTTGTTTTAACAGTGCACTTAGCTCTTTCTAGAATTAAGAAGAAGCTATACAAAGCGCTTTTCAGAATTAATAAGTAACTGCATTTAGCTCTTTTTAGAATTAGTGCATGAAATGTTAATATATGAATGTATGTATGTATATATTCTCTAACAAACTCACTACCTTTATGGCCAAATATTAATACCCGGTTAAGAATAATTCCACATTGTCTCACCACTTCTCAAAGCCCTCTTTGTTATTCAACTCATAAAATTGTCGAAGTTTCACCCCCCAATATTTCTTTTGCTGAAAGAAGGTGTACAGAATTGTGACCAATTCGGGAAATCTGGACAGAAAATAGTCTCCATATTTGGTCCCATCCTTTCCAAACACACCGTCCTTCTTAAGTCTCCCATTTTCAAACTCTGCCGTCCAATCTTTATTGTGTTGATCGTAATCTCGTATAAAATCAATCAATTTGATGAACGATTTTTCCCCATATTTCTTATTCTCCAGTGAAGATTTAGACTTAGTGGCAGCCTTCCATGTCATAAAAGCTTCTAATTCAGGACATAATCTAGACCTCCAATTTTTTTCTAGATTTTTAGTCGCATTACAAAATCGGTCATGTGCGAAGCGAAGTTCACTCTTGCCAGAACCAGCCATTGGGTTTTCAGCATTTTTTAGGTCAATGGTAACCGCCTTGATGAAATCAAGGCCGCGTTTGCTATCCCAGAAGAATGGATGTTCCAAAACAACTTTGGCGTTGGGTCGAACCTTCGGATCCTTATTTACCATGGCTTTAAGCAAGTTTGTGAGTGACGTTGACTCATACTCCAGATTCCAGACGACCAAATAATTCAAAATGTTTGCCTCTGCTTTTGACGAGCCATCGTTTTTATCACTGGCAAAGAGATGTCTCCCACCGGACATTGCGTAGAAAATGGTGAGTCCTAAGGCGAATATGTCATAACTTGGGGAAAGCTTGAAGGTGGCTTCTCTTGAGGTGCCGATTACTTCTAAAGCTTCCGGAGGCCGCCACATTCTCGTGCCACCGTCAGCCAGTGTATTGGTGCCTTTCGTCATTGACGGTAAAACTCGGCTGATACCGAAATCGGCTAACTTTGCCACGTTTTTACCGAAAAAGATGAGGACGTTGTCTGGTTTTATGTCACGGTGGACAATGTTCATGGAATGCATAGCGGCAAGTCCTTTGGTCATGTCGGAGGCCCATTTTTTTCGTAAAGTTGTACCTCCTTTGCGTTGTTTTTCAATGGCGTGGGTCAAAGTACAGTCGGCAAGTTCCATGACGATGTAACTGGTTTTACCGACGTCTTGCATAATGTAGTAGGTGATAATGTTGGGATCCGCCAGTTTCCGAAGGACTTCTAACTCTTTGCTCTTTTCAGAATTCAAATACGATTTTTGGCAAATCTTGACTGCTGCTTTTCTAGTTTGGACTTCGAAATAGCCTTCGTAAACGGTGGATGACCCGCCATCTCCAATTTTAGTGTCAGTGTAGTAAAATACCTTTTTCGATACTTCTTTCAATGGTCGGTTTGTTACTGGTTGGGGTATTGCGTCATTAGAGGGTGTGGCCGGCGGTGACACTTTTGGTTTACTGGGAGTCGGTGTATTATCTGGTGTTGATTTGTTTAGTGGAGCGCTGCCTCCAGATGAACCGGGTTTAGAATTAGTAGGACTTGATTTTGGTTTTTCGGATTTTGCAGGGGTTATTTTGCTCGGATCGGGGAAAGTCTTCTGGCCCGCTTTGCTAGTGCTGGTGGGCACTGTATCTACAATAATCGCGTGTTGAATAGAATTTTTTTAAGGAAAATTTGTTAGCATACATTGTACACAAATATAACTAAAAGTTGGCCAAGGTTGAGTAAAAAAAAATAGGGTGCCAGAACAAGTAGGCAAAATTTATCCAACGGTTGGATAAATTTCGTCCAATGGGTGGATAAATGTTACCCAATGGTTGTGTCACCCTATCTTTTTTTACTCAACCTTGAGTAAATTTGGGTTACTTTTGTTTAGAGTAAATATGTATTCTTTTTATGAACCTTTTATGATACTCTGTTTTGATGGGCTTGGTTTATTTTGTCCAGAGCTGCCTGGTTGATCCACTAGTGTGAATACTTTAAATGCAGCAATTTTTTTCGAGTCCGCTTTAACGGTTGCTATCCCAGTTTGAGTTGTATTTCCAACCGTGCATGTTGTAATATGTCGGATGATTTTGTCGGATCCGGTTTTTTGTGTCTATTAGTAAGAAAGAGAATATTAATTAAATTGGAAGGGTTTTAATAAATATTAAACAATAAACGTAAGCTGACAGTTTTACCGTAGAATATGAAGGTAGAGGAAGTTCAAATTGGACACAATACTTTTTCAATTCGGCGACTTTTGAACAGTGAGCCTTCTCCAATAAGTTTGGTGAGTCCAGTTCTGGCGCATTGTTGGAAGAAGGTCTGGGTGGTCGGAGGGTAGGAGTTTTTGTTGGCTTTGATTTTGGGTTTACATTCTCCATATTTTTTAATATAAAAATACTATAAACTGATATTTTTCTGTAAATTTTAGAATAAGTATGTTATTATCTGGATTAGTAGTTTTATTCGTACACTGTAAAAAAATTGAGTAAAATGTACTCAATTTTGAGTGAAATTGCCACCAAGACAACTATTGAGTAAAAGTTACTCAATGAATATAAAAATTTATCCAACTTTGGCAGATTGTTGCTCAACCTGGAGTAAATTTTAACTTTGGCGGGGTAAATTTTACTCAATTGTTGTCTTGGTGGCAATTTCACTCAACTTTTTTTACAGTGTAAGTAAGTTGAGTTCTGCCAGACGTATATTTTACAAGGATGCGATTCCTGGTTAGTTACTAGATACGGGTTACGTGGCGATGCTACGTGGTCATATGTAGTGGATGAACGGTTGATTATGGACAACAAATAAATTATGTCTTATCAATTACAAGTTTGGCATGCTTAATAATTATTGCGTTATGCATTGTGATCTAGTTATTGTGGATAAGTTAATCGACTAAGCTGATTCAACTTATCTGTATAGATAAGCCGTTACTTTCAATTGGTCTGGAAAGTTGAGTTTGCAATGGTATATATATATATTTTTCTGGCTGGAATAATTTGATATATTTACATATGCAATACAGTGATTAATTTATTATACCAAATCACAAAACATGTATTAAAAATATATGTTAGTGAAGCGAAATCCCTTTATGTGAATGTCTTGTCCGTATCCACGACAACTTTAGAACGGATGCGAATTTCGACACGCGGTTTTCGCCAATGTGTTCATAATTTTTGAAGTGCGGATGAGTTTGAAGATGGGCATCGTAGGTCAGGTCAGGTCAGATACAGAGGGTGGGGGGTTTATACGTAGAAAATTTTGAACGCTCGCGCGAAAAACTGACATAATGTAAACAAATACGGTTTACACTGTTTGATAGACAAACCAATCAGATAAGTCTCTAATTTTTTTCGACTCGAAATTTTGAAAACGGGCTCCTCCCTGTTCATTTGAAGTGGAGGTATTAGTGAAATACTTTTCCAGCAGAGGTTACATAGAAAGGGCTATAGAAATAGCTTAAATTATTATGTTGTGAATTAGCAAAGAGTCTGGAACAATTAGCACTTTAGAAATTCCACCAATTGCCTAACGCACCGAAAATCTGAAAAATCGGTTGAAAAACTTGACCACCTAGTAAAATCCCATAGAGATATATAATAATACATAGAGAAAACGCTAAATCACTTTGTTGACTGAGCATAAGAACCACGTGATGTTTACATTTGGAAGAAAAACATTACGTCATCACTGCGCACTATCTGTCCTCTCGCCCCACTTAACCAACTCAACTCAACCGCTCAACTTAACCACAACCACCAATGTGTGGATTAATGGATGGGGTGGATTGAGAAGACAAATTTCAGCCAGCGTAGCCCACAGAGCCATCTTATGACGGCTCAATAAATTGTGTTTTTTAATGAACTCAGCACTTGGTGTCGCTGAAGCATGTTATTTTCTATCAGCCAATACATTTAGCTGGTGCCGGTGGGCCTTGTAAAATCCTGAGTCCGAATGCTGCATGGCATAGCTGTTAATATGAAGTAAATCAACTATCCAGAGACTAATTAAAACTGGTTTGGGACAGAGTATAACAAAAGCGGCCAAGGTTCACGGCTTGGAAGACCGGAAAATCGCTTATCATTAGCTTAAAATGAAAAAAACGCTGGGGTACGCAAATTCGGGATATGATAATCTTGGTCCTGAAGTCATAAAAAATCATGACAGTCCTCCTACGTCATCTAACATTCACCGTTTGGATTTTTTCGGTTTTTTCATCGTGCAGCAATAACTTTTACACCGACGAATTTATGAATTTTAACATACTTTGGAAAGTTTTAAATGATGAGTGGAAAAAAGACACCCTTAAGAAGGGCCAGGAAGGTTTTCATCGCGGAAAAAGCGTTACAAACTCGAAGTTGAGAATAAGGGGCATCACATCGAGCAAGTTTCACTCCAAAAAAAAATCCGGTTATAGGTAAGAAAAATTGTCGAAAATTTCTACGCCCCACTCTCAGTAATAAAACAAACAATGTAGTGACTTAATTATTAAGTTGCCTTAATAACACACTCTAAGCAAAATTATAACGAATGATTACTTCGCGGAGTGCATATATGACC